TCTATATGGAACCAACGACACCCTTCAATTACGTGTGCTCATCAACCTTTCTCCTTTTGTTGGAAAAAAACGCGGGTTTTGGCCCAAAAGTATGTATCCGTATTTCAACCTCGCATGACCTATTTTTAATCATGTCAGGACGATCCCTTTTCTAACCTCTACATCCTCCGACGGTCACCCAATCTTTTTCAACCGATCCGACCCAATGACGATGCCGTTTCCTTTGGATCATATTTTTTTGCAATTTTAGCGACTGAGGGCCGGATCGCGGTGGTCGAAAAGGTCGTTTATTTTATCTTGTATACGTTGTTTTTTATAATGGATGAAAAACGGCTTAAATCGCCGCGTATACATTACAGAAAAAGTCCGATATTGATAAAACGTTAATGTATGAAAGGCCATTTCTACTTCTTTCGATACTTTCCCAATAAACATCTGTCCTCCTTTTAATATCTTGCGGGCGATTTCTTTGTTCGATTTGGTCGGTGTTTCTTTGTCTCGTCATTGTTTTATGAGATTATTATTTCATGTCTTAGTGAATTCCTTTTTCTGTCTAATCGCAACAAGAAAACCATCCCTTTTTCCCATCTTGTGGTTTCACATCCTAATGTTTTCACCTAATGCATTTGCCTTTTTCAAAGTATAAAATCGTGTACGCAATTTTTTCAAGCGTCAATCCTTTCACATCATAAATGTGTAAATTAAAAACAATTACCCTTCAACTCTGTTGTAGTTGCAAAATTAAAAAATGCACTTAATTATTTGCTATTGACATTTTACAACATTTTTCAATATAATTTCTCATTTAAATATGTCAACTTTGATTTTAAGTTTATGATTGCAATATTTTGTGTAGGAACGTGAAAAATATTTTCATCCATTACAAATTAATTTCAACTTACGTTGAGCATATTGCCTTACATTTTTTGAAGCATTTGGGGAACTTGGTACCTACAGTGAATATTTTCCAATAATTTCCAATGTAATTCCCAATTCCTTCTCAGACAAATGTATATGAATATACATCTCTCCCGGGTGATTCATTAAATCTCAAAATGCTTGGGTTGATGATGTTGTTTTCGTAAGATAAATAGAATCAGATACACATACATATGGAATGTAACATAATCGCTTCCCTATGTTGTAGGATTTATTGATTTTTATTTATTGACGTAAATTTGTTTATACAAAAGATCAACCGCAGCATAACTACATCGATGATCCGTGTGTCCTAGATAGAAGGCGGTAATGTTGTAACATAAAAATAGAAACAAAGCAAATAAAAAAATAAACAAACTTTGTTACTTCTTATATAAACTAATAAGAATTGATCTTTCTTTCTGAAATTATTGTAGTAACTGCACCCTTTAACGACTAAATTGTATCAATTTTATGCTAAATTGTAGCAATTTTTGAGGTAAATATATTATGTTTTCAGTTGTTCGCTGTATATCCCAAGCTCTAATAAAAATATGCCATAGTAGGATTTTAGTGATATATGTTATATATGTTGAGTGTGTATCACAACTTTGTTTTCTATTTCATAATTTTTCCATTTTATTTTATATTCCTTGTCCTTCCTGACTTTTTTTATGATAATTTTTTACTACCCTTATTGCCGTACTATATTTTTTCTTTTTTCTTTTTTTAGTGAATGTCAGAGGATAGTAGTTATCGCATGTTTTACCGCCTCGAATGTGTGGTGGTTGCTTTGAATATGGACAGTAATTTATAACTACTACATTTGCCTTTCCCATCCCTTAAAAGCTCTATACTACTACTTTTTCTCCGGTTTTACAACCGAAGAAGGAAAATAGCGGCTACTAAAAACAACTTGTTATTTGGCGGGAGCTTGGAATTGATTACGTTCAAATATTAAGTTGACACTAAAACTTCCTAAAAGGAAGGTACCGTCGGGAGGGGAAAGGGTTTTTATTTACTTTCTTCCCCGGCTGAGATTCTCGAATATGGCGAAAACAACCCGGATCCAAAGGGGGGGTGGAAGCAAAGTTATTTGTGGTCCTAGGTCGGGGAGCAGATGTTCCTATGACGCCCGGCTCGTTAACACCAAGATAACCGGATGCATAGGAAGAAACGTGGGACACATCGTCATGAGAATCGTTCCTCGTGATCGATCAACATGGGCGTACTAGTTCTAACAAAAAAATGTAAATAAACATAACGACGACTATACATTACTTTTAACTGATTTTCAGGGCACCTATAGCTATTGAAGTTGTGAAAGGTCTAACAAGAAGAGCTGCGGAATGGTATCACCACTAAAGAAACTAGTTTTGGTTATAATAGGTCGAAATGTCATAAACTCAAGCATAAGTGTTCTTGTCAATGAGTTTTAGGAGCTGTTAAGAACAATTTTTAAATAATCTAAATATAATTTTTTTGTAATATGGGTATCTGTATTTGTAGTACAATAGTGCCAAGTCAAGAGGTCGATTTGTTATTTATATAGGATACGAAAGTAGAAAGTATTGTCATATTAAATGAGGTTAGATTCATAAAATAATACACGAACCACATGACCATTTAAAATATCATATTTTTGGAAAAAAGCAAAAAATTCTGACTAGTTATTTGTAATTCATTTTATAGTTATTCTTATTTATTAGTTATTTTAATTAATTAATAGTTCATTTTTATTAAACTAATTATGGATGATTACTATGTTATAATATTTAATGTTTGTTTTGTTGATTTACCTTAAATGAACAAAAACGGACTATCAAGAAAATTTTAGTAAACATTTTGCCCTTTTCATATCATTTTTTTTTTCATTTATAAACATTACGTTTAAAACATTCTCCAAGAATATGGAAGGTTGCCGAAAGCAAATGTCATTAGATCAGTGTGGCTACTTCCAGTGACTCAAACACGAACTAAACCTTTCAAGAAACTATTACTCAAAAGATTAATGACTCTCATCGAAATAAAATAATATCACATAAAGGTGCAACTGGCTGGTCATCAGAGTGAATCAAGTCATTTTAATGCAATGTGACTGGCTCCTTCTGAAGATATATCTGTTCCGCTGTGCTTCAGGACTTATCTCAAGATTTTGATAAAGTCTGGCTTGAAGTCCTAATAGGTAAACTAACCCCCATCCCAACAATGTACTTATTAGAAATAATTGAAGGTGGGGTGAATATCGATCGATTCTCCTTTATTCAAAAGATGGCTTTAGTATACAACTGGACAGTACTGTATCTTCCACTCAGACGGACTATTCCGAGTAAAGCAAGATGACAAATACTTCAAACGCTTAATAAATTGTGCTTTTCCACAAAGGGAACCTTCTAGGACCAATCTTGTTTAATGCGTAATATTGACCAACAGAAAACACCGAATGGATGGCACTGTATCTCTGTCAGATGAAAATAGTATTTTAGTTATTCAGATATCGTGAGATGCGGTCGGGTGTGATGTAGGTTTCAGAAAAACATTTTCTTTATCGTGCCAACGTTTCGATCTTTTATTGAGATCATNATATCTGAATAACTATCGATTAACGGTCACTAATCTCTACACATAGTATTTTAGCATCGACAAGAAAACAGCAAAATAGGAGCACCCGAATTAACATATAGACAAATGATTAAAAAATTAACATAAAGGAATATTAGTGTGTAAACATTAATTTTACCAACAGAAAAATCACAGACAGTACAGTTAATAACATACGAAAACAATAGCAAGGACAGAAAACTCAATAAAGTATCTACGCATTATGCTAGTTCCTAACCAGAAATGGAAAACGCAAATTAACAAAAGAACAAAACTGAATCTTAAATGTAAACAACAAACAACAATTAAATTTATTAGCGTTAGCAAATAAAATCTCATTTCACAATCTAGAACAAAATACTCTTTAATTATTCAGAAATCGAGAGATGCGGTCTGGTGTGATGTAGGTTTCATAAAAACATTTTCTTCATCGTGCCAACGTTTCGATCTTTATTCCATTACATTACACATATGAAATATTTTTCATAGTCTAATTGTCCAACAATTTAGTTTTCCTTTTCCTATTTATCCCTTTCTATATAATCCTGAAATGATAATCTTCATTATCATGTGGCCGAACCATTACCAATACATTGTTTCCCCTCGTCAGCTCTTTTCACCTCAAAGAAGCCGACTCCTTATACAAAAATGTCTTTTCTATACCGACTTCCTTCCCCACCCCTAAAAATCCAACGTATATAAACATAAAACAGCAAAATCTCATTGGCACAACACGACACGCAAGAATGGCACAATTACACAGAAGACAAACACTTTGAGTGAGTAGAAATATTTTGATTGAATATAAAAAATATATTTTGCATTGTATAAATGCACTTTTCCACATCCTAAATGTATTTGTTAAATGTAAACAATGTTTGTAAATCCCAGGCCCTGAAGATGATCTCAATAAAGATCGAAACGTTGGCACGATCAAGAAAATGTTTTTCTGAAACCTACATCACACCAGACCGAATCTCACGATTTCTGAATAATTATCGATTAACGGTCACCAATCACCACACATACTCTTTAATATCAGATGCTTAACCCATTCTGAACTTATGCTCTAAGGTATACAATTGTGCGGTTGTTTCCAAAAGAGAAACATGCCATGTTATTAAAATTTCAGAATAAACTATTAAAAAACATGATTGGTGCCCCTTGGTACATACGGAATAAAGATATTCATCGGGACATGAGGAAATCGAACATCATTATTGTGGATTTAAAAAATAATGCTCAAGATCAAAAATCTTGTCTCCAATTTAAAAATCGAAGCGAGCCAGCTACAAGAACGACAGCACTCTTTGAAAGCACCAAAGAGGACGAACTTACGTCCTAGACTCCAGAAACTAATAGGGACACAAGTGTGTGAAATATAAATTTAACTGAATTGAAGTGGAATTGATATCCCAACAGTCAAACACACGAATCTTTATCATTATAAAATTTAAATAGAAAAAATTAGCAATACTTACTTGAACACTTTTTCGTCGCTGTCGTTAAAACCTAAACAAAAACGTACATTTATTATTGAAAAAATCACAGATCAATTTTCATAAAAGTCATAATACATTATTTAAAAGTCATTAAAAGAAGTTAAAAAATAAATATATAAAAAACATTGTTACTTTACTTAAACCGTCTAGCAATGTGAACGACTTAATCATTTCTGAGCCTAGTTAAAAAAATGAAACTTTGTAAACACAAAACGAGCCTATGATTTCAATTTGGCCGCGGTATAAAAGTCTCATAAAAACGTGGATTATGAAAAAAAGGTTTACTCCTACCTTTCTATTCGGTTGCAATTGTTTGTTTGGATCGTTCCCAGCGGAGGGAAGGATACATATAAAGTAGCTCCTATTCCTGGATCTCCGGCAACTTAGCGAACTCTCGCTATGCCGACATTCACTTTTTTTAACATCTGTATGGACCCTCCAATAAATGGCTATATTATTATTCAGAAGTCGTTCATGAGGCTACGCGTCATGAAAGTAAATCGGGCGTTCCCATTTTCCTGTATTACGTATTTTCATTCGTTACCATTATATTAATATGCTGATTCATTAAACGACGCTATTAAATTAATAAGACAGTGTAGTTCGGTCAGCGTAAAATTGAAATTATGTTTAAGCTGATGTATGCGTGGAACCAATCGTTTCCAATATTGACAAAAGTTTTCACGTAAATAAATAGTTATTTATATTTCCAATTAATTATTTGAACATATTATTAATGATTTTTCATACATACTAAATAAAATAATATGAGTAGTCAATTAAAACAATGTTTAAACACAATACTCAATGGACAAATGAATATTTTTGTGCACAATAATAAACCAATGATATTTTTGTAATTTTATGCGATAGTGAACTATTAAGAAAACTCAAAACAATTTAAAAATTAATTTCAATTAATTAATTATTCTTTCTAAGGTCTTGGTTGAAAAAAATAAGTCAGTGTTACGAGCGGGATTCGAACCCACGACCTTCGGTTAAATACACCGCTACTCTACCACTTGAGCTATAGCGACTTCGATCCACTCGGACACCGTCTCTCCATCTCAACCTACAACATTTCGAATTTTCCCTCCTTTTTGCCATTTTTCATATGTCGTGTAATCAGGACTCGATTCTCGGCGGCGAGGTGGCCACGGGGAGCTGTTAGTCAAGTTAAACTTCGTTTTATTTATTAAATCCATTATATTTAGTGATGTATTGACCAAATTACTTCTTTCAATTAATTAATCTTTTTATGTAAGGTTTTCGTTGAAATGAAAAAGTTTATTCGAACGAAGTCACGATAGAGCAGCTGCGTATTTTGCCAAAGGTCGCGCGTTCGAATCCCGCTCTTGACACTAGCTTTTTCATTTCAACCGAAACCTTACATAAAAAGATAAATTAATTGAAAGAAGTAATTTGGTAAATAGACCACTAAATATAATGTTAATACAAATGGAGAGAATTTCCATTTCTGCCTGATGTATAATTCGATCCTCTCGGACACCATCTCTCCATCTCAACCTACAACCGTTCGAATTTTCCCTCTTTTTGCCATATTCAAAAACATTGTACAACTATTTTTCAATATAATTTCACATTTAAATATGTCAACTTTGATTTCAACTAATTAAGGTTTTTAGTCGAGATAAAAAAGTCATCGTCACGAGCGGGATTCGAACCCACGACCTTCGGCTAGATATGCCGCTACTCTACCACTTGAGCTATCGTGACTTCGATCCACTCGGGCACTAACTTCCCATCTCAACCCCACTTTTTTTTAATTTTCCCTCCTTTTTGCCATTTTTCGTGAATACATTTGATTCTCGGGGAGAAATGATCGAAGACATGATAGCTCACTTTTTTATCTCAACAAGACCTTAGAAAGAATAATTAATTAATTGAAAGAAGTAACTTGGTCAATTGACTATGAAAACTAAAATGGATTAATAATTAATACTACAGACTCATATTCAATGGTTAATTTTATGCGTACTATAGCATAATGCTATTTATTTACTTACCTATTATAGTTTTATAGATCGAATTTATTTCAGGAATATGGGGTTAAGGGAAAAATATTCCACAATTGACTACAAAGCATTTATGGAAATTCATGCGTGGAATTTTTCCTTTTAAATTATGGTTGTCTTGCCAATACCTGGCTGGCCACTTCTCTATTTATCCATTACATGTAAGGCAATGGAAATATAAACTACCTAAGGGAGCATCCCATTATGCCTCATCTAGAATTTTGCTGTCCTGATTTATGAACCATTTTTATATTTTATAGCTCGGTTGGCACCATTCCAAACGAGTTATGGCCTCGCGAGAGATTATTTTCTGCATAGGAATTTTCACGAACAAATTTGCGGCGTAAACCTTGTTTCCACTTAATACAATTTCAGTTTAGGACGAGATTTTAGGCGGATTAAAACGTTACTTTCACACGTGGACTGGATAGATTTTTTTAAATTTTGTTTTAACTTCAAAGAATCCTGAGGTTGGGAAATTCTAATTAAAATAGGAAAATAGAGGTGTGCAAATAATAATAATAAATCCTATTATGACGAACCTAGAAAAACCTTAACAAAATCATATTTTTAATGACATTTAACAATTACAAAAACTAAATAAATTCAATATTCATTTCTGAAATAATATTTGCTCTTTATGTGTACACTATTTTTTTTAAACAAGGGTTTGCAGTAAGTATGTCGGATTCGAATGAAGGGCCGCTGGATTCGAACCCGGGACCTTCACCTTACAGTGATGAGCGCTATGTCTAAATGCCTAAACCATTGCGGCCACCGACGCCCCCTCACTAATTAATTAATTATATGTTATTTTCATGATGGTGACTTAGTTTCAGAAAGACGAATATTTTATAAATATATTCAAAGACATATCCAACGATTTAACACCTAAACTATTGTGTACAGAAGGAAAGTATAAAGGAAATAGTATATAATGCAAACTATTATTTTTTATATTTTTTTCTGTTATAAAGTTATATTTTCTTTTTATATTCATGTCAGTTGGCGGCTAGGAAATTATACTCAAGCCTTATTATTGTTCGGTTGTCTACAAAACCTATTATTTCTATTTCCTGAAGAAAAAAAATAGTGTGGCGCCCGATCTGTATTTTTATTGGTACGCCCCACCAACTTCTCCACCGAGCTAGCGGCACCAATAATTGGTTGTCACGGAAACATATGACAAATTGGTGCACGAACAGTTAATATTTTCCTCTAGAAGAGTTATCTATCATTCTTAGAGCTGCCGGGTTATCAACAGGGGGATAGTGGAGAGTCGGTTGGACGAGATCGTGTTTGGGAGGAAGTGACTTAGGCGTCTCCAGATGGAAGGCTAGATAGTTGTCTGCTGTGTGACTAGTTCTTTAAAGTGAACACAGTGTAAAGCTAATTCTTTCTAAGTAGTGTGGTTAAATGTTCTTCAGAACTACCTTCAGCATCTCGGCCTCTGAGAGAAGACGATGAAAATAATTCTGTATCATATAGCCATCTAAATTGCCCATTGTCTCACTTGACCCTTGAGTCTTCGCTCTGATTTCGTCCCACAACCTATCGGTATAATCAAGGGGTAGAAATTCCGCTCAGAGCTCATTCCAACTTTCCCCAAGTAAAAACCTCTCTTCAAGCGGCCCGACACCAGATCAACGTCTTGCCTCGGAAGAGGTCATGGGCTGCCAAGAACAGCTCTTCATCTTATGAACACACCTCACACCGCACACCCAGGTTGTTCCCTTCGCCAGAAAAGGAGATGCCCCGATCCGCAACTGACCCCTTTCTGGCAGCACCTGCTTATGAGCTCCCGGCTTCTGTGCAGTTCTTCCTGGCCACCGAAGGTTTTATAGCACTCTCTTCCATGTGGATCGCAGTTGTCGATAATGTCAACCTTTGGGTAATGGCACCAACATCTTTAATCCCCTCTTCGTTAAATATGGAGTCAGTCCCGGCGACCTCGACATCTTCGGCACGTAATAACACAATCGACAGCCAAAAAAATACCTGTCCGGGCGCCAATTTGTCACGTGGTTCCGAGGCCATTACTGCTTAAGCGAATTAAGTTTCATGTTCCATTATCGCTTCAGAAGTCAAAGAACATTCTTCAATCATTGCCAGAGAACTAATTTTGCCAAATTTAGTTTTACACAAAGAACAACAATTATGTTGAACTCGTTCGAAAATGTAAATATATTTAATGTCATTTTAAGTGAAGTTTAGCAAATGTGATCATTGGAAAATTGAATATTGTATCATTAATATTAATTACGTAGTTTTATTACATATTTCAATTTGTTTCAATTTACTTTAAATTGTTTTTTTTATTATAAATATTTTTTATAATAAAAATAAAATAAAATGCTGGGGAAAGTAAATACTACAAAATTGGCAATATCCCTATTCATTTTTGGGAAGTTTATTTTAAAAACGAATGTGAACAAACATAATGAAGTTTGAATGACAGCGATTCAATCGCCGTTCCAGTCAAATATAATTCTGTTTTCCTAACAGCTCAAAAGAAGCAAAGGAAGTAAAGTATTGACTTATTGACGTTTCTCTATCATTTGCTCTACGGCCGCCACAAAATATAAATTGAATTCGTAAACAAACGGGACACTCCAACCCTGAGATCTCAGCCATTTGGAAGTTGGCAAAGTCACCCAATTAAGGAACGGGGCCGGTTCAAAGTGGACCTGCCCAGTTTCCTCGCTCTTGACTTTTAATAAGGCTTATTAATTGGCCTAGTGGGGTTTAGCCGCAAGCCCTTGTTTCTCATATGAATGGCCAAACCTTTGAAGCTCAACGGCTTTTATATCCGAAAGTCGGCTTTTAATCGGATTATCCGGAAATGACTGCAGGAAAAGCCGTGAGGATTCTTTTTTTTCGAAATTGATTTCTTTGATGGCTTGTTTTACACCGTTGTCCACCAATGCCGTACATTTTCTTAATTAATCCAGGCGAACCTCAATTTCTAAATGTC